CGAGTCAAACAAATATTTCAGAAAATGTATAATATCGAGAGTTACAAACATATGTTACCCCCAGCTTTTAATTAAGAAATGGTTCCACCGATCGAAAAAATTTCAAGTATGGATTGGATTGTTGGTCAACTTTCCCTCTCTCCTAACATCAATATACTAAACTACAAACAACATAACATCAATATACAAAAAAACATCATTGTATCGACTTTCGATACGAAAGTATCGGAACATTTGTGCTCGGTGTGGGTTTTTTCTTCAGACAAAATTCGACTTTTTAACTAGCCATTTTTAACGGAATTTCTTTTATATCATTCAAAGAGTAATGTTGTCCTGAGCTTAATTATAAAAAGATATTTCACCAGTGATCATTTTTCATAAAGTTATGGGGGTTTAAAGATTGCCATTTTGGCCAATTTGGGACAATTAACGCGCGATATATTTCGCGCTCTTAACGCGTTAGCCGAAATTTAATCCGTCTTAGAAATAGTTCCAAACTGGTTGAAAGAAGCTTATTTGCCATAATTGATTTGTTACAAGGAGCACAATCCATCCTTTCGTACTTAATATGGCGTATGGGGGATGAGTTTCATAAAAAAAACTTTTTCAATTTATTACATTAAATTTTTTTAAAAGTTTTTACTGCTCCTGAAACCTTAAAACGCAGTCGGGACATTCAGGGTTTCGCCCTGATACGAGCAATCTTGTTTGATGTATAAAACTAAATCAATTAAACTTTTGAAAATACACCCAATCCTTATATACTATTCCCGAGAATCCAGCTAGTTTTGCTATTGTTGAAATGTTCTCCTTAAAAAAAATTTGGGAATCAAGTTTTATATCAAGTTTTAAAACGTTGCGATATAAAATATAGAAGCTCATAAAACCTTTCAAAAATAGATTACTGCTTTTAAAGTCCGGCTGCTTTTTAAGGTCTATGGAGCAGTAATAACATGAAAAAATTAAATATAATAAAAAAATTATTATTTTTTTTTGGTTTGAGATTTTCTGAATTGTTTTTTGAGAAGTGAAAATCATCTCCCAACACGCCATATAAAATACAAAGTGATAGAGATCGCTCCGAGTAACAAATCAATTATGGCAAAAAGCTTCCTCTAACCAATTTGGAACAATTTCTTAAACTGATTAAATCACGCGTTAATTGTCCCAAATTGGCCAGAATGGCAATCTTTAAACCCCCCATATCTTTAGCAAAAATGATCACAGATGAAATTTATTTTCAAAATTTAAGCTCAAGACAACAATACTTTTTGAATGGTAAAAAAAATTATGTCAAAAATAGCTAGTTAAAAAGTCGAAATTTGTCTGTCTGAAGAAAAAACCCAACCCAGAGCACAAATATTCCGTTAGTTTCATTACGAACATCGGAACAAAAAGATAAATTTGCTCAAATTTAAGCACTGAAATTGTCTACATCTACATTCCATGATGAACGGAAAATTTAATTTCTGGTTAATTTAAACCCACCCCAGATCTCTCGTCCCAAATTGGCCGAAATGGCAATCTCTAAACCCCTATAACTTTACGAAAAATAATCACAGGCGAAATATTTTTTCAACAATAACAAAACTTGTACACATCTCTCGTTAAATATATTGTTTCTTAACTTGAATACTTAATGTATGCTTGTTTTGTCATCTTTTTTGTGTACAACTGGGACCTAGTAAGTCAAAGCTTATTTGCCATAATTCATGTATTTCTAGGAGCAAAATCTATCACTGTGTACTTCATATGGCGTGTAGGGGTATGATTTAAAAAAAAACTCAATTTTTTTTCACTTTATTTTATTGCATTTAATTTTTTATGTTATTTTTTGGTCCATAGATCTTAAACGGCAGACGAAACAATTAGAGCTTTGCCCTGATACGAGCAGTCTTGTTATTGTTTTTATCATTAACTTGTTATTTTCGAACTGCTAGATATTTGAGATATCAATCCTAAATGTCAGTAAGGCACGTTTACCGGTACTCGCTTCGTGTATTATAAGTTCCTTTAATTGCCCTCACTGGGATCACGCAAACACCTCTGACTGGTTTGTGATTGCGCAACCAATAGGTCAAAGGTCCGCCTAAAGAAATGTTGGTACAGTATCAAATGTATAAATTTTAAACTGCTCTCTGATTAGTCAAAGTATACTTTGATCAATTTGGAATTTTTTCTTATTAAAAAAACATTATGTACTCATCGGAGTTATTTTGTAAAACAAGGAAGATACAGCAAAAAAATTTGATTTGTCAATGCAAAAAATCAGCACAAAAACGACATTAATCAGAAGTCAGAAAGAAAATTAAATAAAACTAAAATTTAATAAATTCACTCTACTACCCAAAATCAAAGGCATTTGCTCGAAATTTCATCATTTATCATATCCAAAAACTCATAGCGCACCAAAAATTATGTATTTATTCAACCAGTTTCTACTATAGAAGCTAACATTGCAATCCATCGGTTGAAGATCTCGGGGCCAGTCTTATATCTGACATAAACAAATTTAAGGATGCTAAAATTTCATTAAAAACTGTAATGGAGTTTTTTAAGTCTGTATGTTTTTTGCAGGCATTAAATTAATTCAAAAAGTGGCAGAAAATCAAAAAATGTAAAACGTGAAATAAAAAGGCGGCAACAAAAAAAACACCAATTTTTGAACCAGTTCAAAGTGCTCGGTGCATCATAATCACGCAACAAACAGCAAGGTTTCCAAAAAAAAGACAACCCAAACCCAATGGAAGAGCAGAAGATGTACAGATAAACAAGATCAATTAGTTTTTTTATCCAATGACAAAAACTTAGCAACAAAAGTTTTTTCGGCATGGCAAAAGATTGTTTCACAACCAAAACGTTTTATTCGAAACCAAGTAACACAAAAAAAAACAGAAAAAATGTTTGAAAGCCTGAAATCAAAAACCGCGTTAAGCCGTACGACATTTACTTCTTTATTCTAGATATTCTAGAGTTGCTGAGAGATCTTTCAACAAGTTTCCCTCGCCAGGTTTTTCAAAGCACCCTTTTAATTGTGGATAAACTGATTTTTTTTCCTTGTTCGCCAGACTTTGCGATAGGCTTATAATCAGTAGTTTGAACTATTTATTTGACAAATGTTATGTGTTCACTCAAAAACAATTTGCGTTAAGATCGAAACGTGTCACTTCATATGCTACTAAGTTTATCTGATTGAATAAAAATTTTGTTATTGAAATGATCAAGCCAATTCATCCCATTAAACATTCAAAATCTGGAAAACCTTTTAATACAATGAACGCCGGATGTTTTTTTCTTTGGATAAATGGTAGTCATTTTAGCTTAGGTAGCTTAAATTGAAAATACCAAAACTGTTTCATGCAAACAGTAAGCAATGTGTTTATATCTCAAGATTAACGTCAAATATTGAAGACAAAAATTTTGGCGTCTGATATGAATCATTTATGTGACCTATTTTTATCCTTATTTAAAAAAAAAAAACAAAAAGCAATGATCCTCAACAATCTGGAAAAGTTTTTTTCTATGCGAAGGATACAGTCATAAAACAACCTCCTCATATAATAATCTACAATTAGATCATTAACAAGTGTGTGGTTAGCAAGCAAAATTATGAAGTGATCTGAAAAATTTAATTTTTTTATTTGGAAAAAATTATCTTCCAAGTTTGCTTCAGATACAACAATAATCGGCGAAATTTTCAAATCTCCTGCAAAGTTTACAGATAAAAAACTCCATGAAACTTCTTTAGAAAAAAACCAGTACAAATGGGTTTTCCTTCAGATTGAGAAAGGTTTCGACCAAATATACTCCAAAGTTTCCAATCCGATTTCATTTCTGTTTTTCATTCCAAATTTCAGCCAAAAATTCAGCCAATTTATAATAAAGAGTCATCGTTTACGCATCAACTGATAAACAAAATTTCAACTCCTGGAAGGCTGCTGTTATGTCTCGAATGGAACACCTGGAAACGCTGCTGAAAATAAGATTAATGAAAAGAAAAAGAATTCAATCAAACACAAAAAGCAACAAAATAAAACAATTAATTATCAAAAAAAAAATGCAGGTTAAGAACTGCTGAAAATTCCGTGCAACGTCATCAGGAATTAATTCAAATCCTAAAAATCACAAAGTGTTATTGGTAAAGAAATGCAACCAAAAAATTTCAACCAAGAGAAAGAAAGCGAGAGCTGTTCGAAGTTATACAACGTTTTCATCGAAAGTTTTAATCGCGGCTAGGACTATCTATAAAGCGTGAAAGCTGAAGCAAATTATCACAATAAAGAGTTCTTCACATTGTTCAGAGATTTAATAGGTTCCGAAAAGACAACCCAAATCCAACGGAAGATCAGAAGATGTACAGATAAACAAGTTCAATTAGTTTTTTGATCCAATGGGAAATACTTAGCAACAAAAAATTTTTCGGCCGAAAATTTTTTAGCGAAAGATTTTTTCATACTCAACCAATACTATTTATTCAAAATCAATAAACACAAAATAAACAGAAAAACTATTTGGAAGCCTGGAACCAACGAGAATTCAGCTAGTTTTGTTATTGTTGAAATGTGCTCCCTCAAAAAAAATTAGATCACCAATTAGATCACCAACAATTAGATCACCAACAAGTGTGTGATTAGCATGCAAAATTATGAAGTAATCTGAAAAATTTAAATTTTTTATTTGGAAAAAGTTATTTTCCAAGTTTGCTCCAGATACAACAATAATCGGCAAAATTTTCAAATATTCTGGAAAGTTTACATATAAAAAACTCACGTTCAAAAATCATGAAA